GAACACAAATCAATTTCACACATCCCTATATTTGAAATCTCGTTAACTATCAGTGTATTTTGTAATATATACTCAGAATAGAGCAAAAAACCTTTTGTGTGTTTTATTTGATGATCAGTGTATACTAAATACATATTATAGTATTTACAGTGCCCTACATACTTCCACTCCTCCATATCATTTTGTTCTGTACATTGTCATCGTCGTCCTATAATATATTTCAATAAAAGTACTGGTGTATTCTGAACTACGTCACTTGGTGTGTGTTTTATTTTGATATTTGTGTATTTTAACTTACTGTTCCTGTATTTTTGGTGTATTTTACCTTGCATTCATGTTGTTGAATGTATTGCATATTTCAATAAGTAATGGTGTATTCTGAACTACGTCACTTGAATACAGTAAACAACATTGGTGTGTTTTTTATTTTGATATTGGTGTATTTTACCTTGCATTCATGTTGTTGAATGTAGTGCATATTTCAATAAGTAATGGTGTATTCTGAACTACGTCACTTGAATACAGTAAACAACATTGGTGTGTGTTTTATTTTGATATTGGTGTATTTTACCTTGTATTCATGTTGTTGAATGTAGGACATATTTTAGTATGTAATGGTGTATTCTGAACTACGTCACTTGACTACAGTAAACAACATTAGTGTGTGTTTTATTTTGATATTGGTGTATTTTAACATGCAGACACCAAGAGGAAGGCATTGGAACAAGAAGAACCCCCAGCAGCAAAACATATACGGAAGCAACAAACCCTGGCATTCCTTGATAAAATACAGACAGAGTTACAAAGTGAGGATACAGAGCAACAAAATCAAGTTGAGTCTAGCTCAAGTGATGAGGCAGACATACTGGAGAATGAAGACAAAGAAATTGGCCTAGAGATAAGACCCCTTCTCACACAATTAACGAACCCAATTGCCACACTAACTGATCAGCAACGCAAAAGCGTAGAGGATATTGGGCTAGGAAGAATTCTTGACCTGAATATTACCAATGTGCCAAGGAAGTTGGGGCTATGGCTAGTTCAACACTATGATGCTAGGAGCAACATATTGAACCTACCCACTGGTGAATGACTCCACATCACAGAAAAGGATGTTGCTGCCACATTGGGGTTGCCGATTGGAGGCATAGAAATCGTGAAGAGGGCATCCAAAGAGGTATCCAAACTCTTAACTGACTGGAGAACAATCTTTGGAAAGAATAACGGCCACATCACCCCCCACGTTATGTCTGAGAAGATGTTGACACTAAAGGCTACTGACCCTTGGTTCAAAAGGCACTTTGCACTGCTTGTTATGAGTGTATTGGTTGAGCCCCAATTCAATGGTTATGTCAACCAAATCTACATTGACAACATCAAGAAGCTAAATTGGTGTAGAATGCTCATCAACTCTCTCATCACCAGCAAGCAGGCATGGCTGAACAGTGTTGATGGGAGATATGGAGGACCAATTATTTTCCTGATGGTAAATATACTACAAGCAAGATGCATCTAATTTATTACCAACTGATCGATTAATAATCTAAAATGCAAAATGTAGATATTCTATGTTGACCGTGTGGTGCTCTACCGGAGGACAGTCCCAAGAAGCTTCCCTGCCATGAAGAGTTGGACATTTAAGCTACCTCGTCAACGAGAACAAAATGAGATAAAATCCGGCGGCTTTGGATATGGCAGTCTTGAAGATGCCTTACCATTGGACAGCACACCATGCAATGAAGGAAGGCCCCCAGTAAGACGTTCTGATGTTCCACCCCAACCACTGACTATTGAAAATAATGCACCACTTCCCACTGCATTACAGGTAAATAGACCACTTGAAGCATATTCATGGTGTACTCCTTATATCTCTTTTACTGTTTTTTATACCTATAGATTGTTGTGCATCTTACAATGGGGTACATTAATCAGTTTGTGTGATTAAATAAGGTACCCTAATGGTGTGCTTTTTAGAAGTATTTAGTGCATATTTCGATATACATTGGTGTGTTTATATTATATCCTTCTGGTGCATACACAGGAGTTTGTTGATGAGATTACTAGCAACACAAGGACAATTGCAACAAGTTTACTGAGAATATCAAGACTGATTGAAAATGCACCTGCAGCAGTTTTGGAACATGATACATTCAAGCAAATGTTTGAGTCTGCTAGACAGATGCTAGGATTCAAAGCATAAGAAGATGGACAATTGATATTTACCCAAGGAGAAGACGCCTACTAGAGTGACCCTGAGTTTCTGAAAGCAGTTGATGAAATTGTACGTGCGATAAACAAGAGGAATTTCCTAAATGATATACCCTCTTTCAGCCTAGGATTGTCACAAGATAAACCAAACAGAGGCTGGACAGATGTGAGTGATATTGCACGTGACTACCAGGGTGCTAACGAAGCTGATGAACCTGCCGAAGTTCAGTTGGGTGTGGATGAGGATCAAGCAGCAGATAGAGCTCAAGAATGCACTGAGTCAGATCAACATGAACCTCTATCTGACCAAAATAAACAGGCTCTGCATGAGACTTGAGCAGATGACACCAATAATGAGGTAATGAACTATAATAAATCCAACATCACAAAAAAAAAAACAAAAAAAAAAAAAAAACAAAACAAAAGAAAGTAACACACTATAAAAAACTTATGCTCTCAGCTTTGAATGTTACAGATCACACCAGAATGCCAAGGGCAGCCAGCCCCTGCGTCAAGTCCAACCCCCCCCCCCCCCCCCCCCAACCAGCAGACAAAGGCAAAGGCCTAGCTAGAGTGCATAGCCCAATTGGATGAAGACCCATCTCATACGTGCTTGACATTGACACACCATTATCTGCAACAGAGGATGCTATCAAGCAGTGGTGGGTATTGGAAAACCCTAACCCAGATCTGTAAGCACAACACACTCTAAAAAAGATGGTGTGCTGTTTATATATATTTGGTGCATTATATAATGATGTTGGTGAATAAATATCCTATGCACATTGATGTTTTATTCAATGTGATATTAGTGTATAATATGTTAAATGTTGGTGTGTTTATACTAAATGATTGGTGACTGGTTGTGTTTTGTACCTAACATATTTCTTTGGTTTCAATAGGACCCAAGAACTATTCAAATATGAAGGAAGGGTAATCTACTGGAAAGATATGCTGTCAATGAGGCCAGATACAAAGATCCCAATCTCTATAATTGATGTTTGGTCAGCCATAATCAACATTCGTGAGTCAAAAAGGGGATGTACAAAGTTCATTGCCTCATTGTGGACAACTGTGAGTGGAAAATATAAACCTAGCTTCAACTTTAACAAGCTTAAAGTTCTAACAAAAATACCATTACAATTTGTAGTTGTACACAGTTGTGGACCCACAAGGAAATGAGGATGTTAGATTTGCAAGATTCAGATCAAAGTACCTCGAAGACAAAACCATTGCAGGCGACGTTAGGTGGAACAACATTCTATACGTAGGATATTAATATACATATTAAGTGCTTTATAGTTTCATACTAGTTGAATTTTGACTTTAGACATTTGGTGCATTCTATTATTTAGCTATTTGTGGTGCATTACTAACCATCCTTAGATTCATATTAACACCCCTAAAACATATCTTTTTGCTATAACAGTTTTTGTTTCCAATTGTGTCATCCAACCACTACTACTTGTTTTCCATTAGCCCAATAATGGAAAGATTTGACATTATTGACAACTCTTCTGTCACTGTAAAGAAAGACAACAAGTATGGGACTGTGCTTGCAAATATGGTAACACACTAAGCCCTGACTGATTATATATATTTAATGCACAACTACAACAAAAAAAATACTCAGATTTGTATTACTTGATGCAGCAAAAGCTCTTATCAAGGTTCTTGACTGACATAAAATCCTCATACAAGGCTGAGAAAGTGAAAAAGGTGAAATCTAAGATAATGAAAATGCCTTGGAGAGATGCACACAACAAGGTGGATTGTGGCATCTTTCTCATGCGCCATTTGGAGACTTTCCGAGGGCAAACATAGGAGCAGTGGCAGTGTGGACTTCAGAAGAACAACAAAGAGCAGTTGAACAAGCTACGAGTGCGATACATGGCTGCCCTAATCATGTCAGACTTAAATAAACACAAACAGAGGAACATTTAGCAAGCAGCAGAGTTCCGGGTTTGAGCAGAAAGTTAATGTGGAAGAAAGACAATGTGAATGGCTGACTTGACAGATTTTTTTTGTGGTTGTGATGACTAGTAGTTATTTTTGTTATGTCGGACATATAAAGTGACCTCTTTATATATGCTTTTTGAGCTATAACAATGCACCCCATGATATAGTAAAACGCACCATGATCTATTATAAAATGCACAAATATTTCTGTATTGTAAAACGTCTACACACCTGTAAAATACCCCAACCACACAAATAAAACATAAACCAATGTTATTTATTATATTCAAGTGACATAATTCAGAATACACCATTCTGAATGAAATATACACTACATTCAACACCATGAATGCAGGGTGAAATACACTAAAAATACAACAACACTTGGTAAAAAAAATGCGTAATATAACGCACCACACTGTGTGTGAAAACGCACCATTATCTATTATAAAATGCACAAGTCCAAACATATTTCAAAATCCTGATTCTCTGTTATGAAACGTCTACATACCTGTAAAATACACCAATCACACAAATAAAACACAAACCAATGTTATTTACTGTATTCAAGTAACGTAATTCAAAATACACAATTTCTGAATGAAATATACACTATATCCAAGACCATTAATGCAAGGTGAAATACACTAAAAATACAGCAATAGTATGTAAAAATACACCACGATGTGCGTCGAAACGCACCGTATCTATTATAAAACGCACAAATCCAACAATGTCTAAAAAATCCTGATTCTATGTGTTATAAAACGTCTACACAACTGTAAATACATCAAATTCGACAATACAGACCAACTAAGAAAACAAACACAACTCTAGCCATTTAATGGGCACGTCCAACTACTATGACCATATTCATCACAACTATGGCATTTCCTTGATTGCTTTACACACTTATTCGCAGCTTTCTCCCTTGCACTCTTCATCCGCTTCCCGCTGCCCTTGTTCTTAGCTTTAATTGGATCACGCACCTCCACTGTTGACCCCTGAGACACATCACCACAAAATGATTTAATCACACTTTCCTTGCTGCTACGAGCTACCCCATTGTCATCCTCACACCCATCTTTGAGAAAAAAACTGCATTTGCTCACAAATAACACGTCTTAGTTGTTCCAACCGTTCTACATTACCATCAGTCAATCCCACGTAAGCATATATTTCAGACCACATTAGATTAGTAAGCACCCTAACATTATCCACTTTAGCCGATTGATCAACAACCGTATCATCAATATCAAATATTGGCTTCAAACAAGCACCCTTTGTCCATCGAGACACCAAATACATAGAAGGAATTCTCTCAAGTCCACGATCTTTAAACACAAAAGAAAAAAAATATGCCTACACACCAACCCATCCGCTCAAACATCTTGCATGAACAAGTAGCAACAGAGTCAGCCAACATAACTCCACACACCATGCCTTCTTGTCACCATCTTTTATCCCATAACACACCTTACCATCACAATCACACAAAGACACCACTCGACAAGAAAAACAACATTCACAAATCTCTACTTTCAAATCATAAAATACATAAATGGTATACACATCCATTGCATGCTTCTCCAGCGCCAATGGAGTGTTCAAAACAGGAAAACAAGATTCAGAGTCAGCAGTCAATTTTGCTTGTGCATGTCGTTGTGCACTAATAGCACTATCAAAATGCACCAAAAACTCAACCAAACTAGAATAACCATTAGAGAAACTGCCAAAAAAACTATTTTGAGACTCTGATCGAGACGTTGTCCTAACAAATCCTGACATAAACTCATCATGAAAGTATGGAGATGCCTAAAATGTACGAGACTCAAACAAGTAACGAAACCAACCGTTATCAACCAAACCATATTCCTCTATAATACGACTCCATAAATCCTCAAAAGCTTTGGAATCTCTAGATTTGTTCCAAACAATGCCATTCAACTTCCTTCTAAACACCTCGTCCTTAGCTAAAACCGGTCCAACCTTCTCACCAACCTTGCACATTATATGCCACATGCAGAATCTATGTTTTGATGTACCAAACACACGAGCAACTGCAATCTTGACAGCTGGATATTGGTCAGTAACAACACAAATAGGTTCATGACGCATGGTTGTCTTAAATCTCTCCAAAAGCCACACATATGAGTCTACGCCTTCCCTCGTAAGTAAACCAGCACCAAATGTGATGGATCTCTTATGGTTATCGATTCCAGTAAATGGAACAAACACCAAATTATACCTACAGAATGCACAACACAACTACTGAATACCCCGTCAAGCCTGTATACAATAGTTGACAAATTCTACTGTATTCCCTATCTGTATTCTTGTAGTTTAGGATTGTTAGTAACTCCCTGCTACTTCTCCTCATCTGTATCCTATTTATACTTGGCTCATTTCATTAATCAATCTCAAGCTTTTGTATTATCATAACATGGTATCAAGAGCCTAAATCTCCAACGAAGATTTTTTTTCTTTTCCTTCCACCGGTTACAACCATGACCGAAGTAATTCAATTAAATGCTCCTTCTCACTTCCCCATCAAACTAACTTCCACAAACTTCCCTGTTTGGAGCCGTCAAGTCCAATCCACCCTCATTGGCTACGATTTACTCGGGTACATTGATGGCTCTGTTAAAGAACCAGCCCGGTTCACAGACACCGCTTCCACCAGTAGGAACCCCACCCAATTAATTTGGTATCGCCAGGACCAAATTATTATAAGTGCTTTACTTGGGAGCTGTTCTGACACGATCCAACCTGTTATTTCTTCGGCTGCAACGGCCCGCGACGCTTGGCAACAACTTGTTGCAAGCTATGCCAGTGCCTCTCGAGGTCGAATTATTTCCCTCAAGGCAAAGCTAACAAAAAACCCGAGAGGCTCTCGGTCTGTTACTGAATACCTCAATGATATGAGGTCCATTGCTGACGATCTTGCGTTGGCTCAAAGTCTAGTTTCTGATGAAGACCTAGTGGTTTATATCCTAAACCAACTAGGGGAGGAATACAATCCCATCATCTCGGCTGTTCGCATCCGTGAAACCTCCATCTCCTTCGGTGAATTAAGTGATGTTCTGACGGACCACGAACGCCACTTAAAAGAAGCTGATGATGCACGCCAAACCTTGCCTGCCACTGCTAACGTTGCACAACGTACTTTCTCTTCATCCCGGAACAATCAATCATCCAATTCTGCTCGGAACAATCAATCATCCAATTCTGCTCGGAAGTTTCGTAATAACAATAACGCCAATTGGCAAAGTTGGACACAAGGGGGGAATAATCGTTCTGGGATTATTTGCAAGTTCTGCAACTTTCCCGGGCATGAAACGAAGGTATGCCGTAAATTAGCAAAATTTTTAAAGGAGCATAATGTTATACCCATGCAGGCCTCTACGTCTCTTCACTCGCCTACAACCAATTCCACAATTGGTCTATCACAGTCGTGGCTATTTGACAGCGGAGCCTCCCACCATGCCACTCCGAGTATGACTCCTCTGCAAACTTTTTCTGAATACAGTGGCCCGGATGAGATTCTCTTGGGTGACGGTAACTCCTTAGAAATCTCTCATGTTGGTCGGTCCACCATTCCCACTTCCTACTCTACCCTTACTCTTGATAATGTCCTACGTGTTCCTAAGTTGCGTAATAATTTAGTTTCTGTATCCCAACTCTGCAAAACTAACTCAATATTGGTTGAATTTTTTTCGTCTCATTTTATTGTGAAGGATCTGCGAACGGGGACATCGCTAATGCGGGGGGAGAACGTTAATGGCGTTTACTATGGTCCTCTTCCTCGTCAGCCAACAATAAATGTTCTACACATGTCGAGTGTATCTCGATGGCATCATCAACTTGGTCACCCATCAAATAAAACATTGCATCTTATTTTAAAGCATTGTAATGTTCCAGTTAACCTGTCCTTGTTAAAACAATTTCATTGTTCGTCTTGCAGCATACACAAGAGTCACAAGTTGCCCTTTTCTAAAAATACTCTTACTAGTAATAAGCCACTACAATTGCTTTATACTGACGTATGGGGCACCTCGGACAAGTCTATTGATGGGTGCCTCTACTATGTTATATTTGTTGACCATTTCACAAAGTATATTTGGTTATATCCATTAAAACAAAAATCAGATGTGTTCACAATTTTCCCCCAGTTTAAATGTTTGGTTGAAAAATACTTTGGTCACACCATTATCTCTGTCTACTCAGATAACGGCGGTGAGTTCATTAAACTCATCCCGCTGTTCAATGCTCATGGTATCTCCCACTTTACTACCCCGCCTCACACCCCGGAACATAATGGCACTGCCGAGCGCCGACATCGACATATCGTCGAAACCGGGCTGTCATTACTTCATTCTGCATCTCTACCTGTTTCATACTGGACTCATGCATTCCTAACGGCTGTGTACCTCATTAACCGACTTCCAACACCGGTCTTAGGTAACAAATCTCAGTTTCAGGCTATGTTTAACAAACTGCCTAATTATGATAAACTCAAGCCGTTTGGTTATCTTTGTTTTCCGTGGCTACGTCCATATAACAACAGAAAACTCCAACCAAAATCATGCCCTTGCATTTTTCTCGGTTATTCTGGCTCTCAGTCGGCTTATAAGTGTCTGGATTTTTCCTCTAATCACATTTATTTGTCTAGACATGTTCAATTTATTCCTGATATTTTTCCCTCTCATGAGTTGCAGTTTCAATCACAAGTGGGAGACATTCAGTCTCGGCCTCCAAAGTCTGGAATTACACCGACTATGTCTCTAATAAATCCACCGCCAATTGTGTCTAATTCGCCTACTGCTTCCGCCTCTACGCCTCTTCATTCCAGTTCGCACCAGCCTGCCTCTCCAAATGACCGCCACATATCACCACCGACTTCGCCTAGAATGCATGAGCCCATATCGTCTGTAGGTGCTTCACCTCATTCTAGTCCGACTTTGTTTGCTGCCTCACCTGTTTCGCCAACATCCAGCCACGTGTGTCCCAGTTCGCCAAGCTCCAGTCCACACTCGCCTGTCTCCAGCCAGCCACAGTCCGTTTCACCAGGTAATAGCGACGCAGCCAGCAGCCCTTCTTCGGTTGCAGCAATATCCACTAGTTCGTCATCCCAAACAGCGGTTCCTTCCTCTCAGTCTACTGCGTCACCACAACAAGTCTTGCGTCGTTCATCTCGTGTCCGTCATCCTAACCCCAAGTATTATGGGGACCACTATGTCAACCTCACTACAACCCATCCTTTACCCCCTACTATAGAACCGTCTACCGTCACTCAAGCACTCAAGGACTCCCGGTGGAGGATGGCCATGGATGATGAGTACCAAGCCCTGCATCGTAACAAAACGTGGCATTTGGTTCCTCGCGGCACTGGGGTCCCAATAGGTTGCAAGTGGGTTTTTCGGGTCAAACGCAAGGCCGATGGAACGGTTGATCGTTATAAAGTGCGTCTTGTTGCAAAAGGTTTTTTGCAAACTGCAGGTCGTGACTATTACGAAACTTACAGCCCAGTCATGAAACCGGTTACAATTTGTGTGGTCTTGAGTATTGCGCTAAGCAACCGCTGGAGTCTACGACAGTTAGACATAAACAATGCGTTCCTACATGGAACGTTGCATGAAGAGGTGTATATGGACCAGCCTCCCGGCTTTGTTGATCCACTGTTCCCGTCACACATTTGTAAATTAGACAAAGCATTGTATGGACTCAAGCAGGCACCGAGAGCGTGGTACTTGGAGCTGTCACAATTTTTGTTGCGTTGTGGTTTTTCTAAGTCACGAGCGGACGCCTCTTTATTTGTTTATTTTGCTGATGGTGTTATTGTTTATTTCCTAGTCTATGTCGATGATATTTTATTGACAGGGAATAATGACGCCTGGCTTGCACGGTTTGTAAAGACTTTGTCTACGCAATTCTCGCTTAAAGATCTTGGTGATTTGCATCATTTTTTGGGTGTTGAGGTAGTACCAACACCGAATGGGATCTTCTTGACACAAAGTCAGTATGTCACTGACATTTTGATACAGTTTAAGATGGATGGTGCCAAAGATGTCGCAACGCCACTTGCTTCTTCGGATAAATTGGTGCCCGCCAAGTCTGATAGCGACCGGCTTGATGTTACTCAGTTCCGACGCCTTCTCGGCTTGTTGCAGTATTTAGTCATCACGCGTCCAGATGTTGCCTATGCCGTCAACCGCCTATCTCAGTTCATGCATACTCCTACCATTGCACATTGGCAGGCGGCCAAATGGCTTCTTCGCTATCTCAAAGGAACGGTTTGTCATGGCCTATTCCTTCGCGTTGGCCAGCCGCTTTCTCTGCATGTCTACACTGATTCTGACTGGGGGGATTGCACCTCGGATGGCCGATCAACTACTGCTTACTTGTTGTACCTGGGCGCAAATCTCATTTCCTGGAAGTCCACTCGTCAACGCTCTGTCTCCCGTTCATCCACGGAGGCGGAGTATCGTGCCTTGGCGAATGCTGCAGCAGAGGTTCTATGGGTCAAGAATCTGTTGTATGAACTGCGTTTGAGTCTGCCTCAACCACCACTATTGTTCTGTGGCAATCTCAGTGCAACTTATGTCTGTAAGAACCCAGTGTTTCACTCTCGCATGAAACACCTGGCCTTGGATTACTTCTTCGTCCGAGATTTGGTGTCAAATGGTTCATTGGTCGTGCGTTATATTCCATCTTCCGGGCAGCTAGCTGACTTACTTACGAAGCCACTTGGGCGCCGCTTGTTCCAACTGTTTCGGTCCAAGATTGGTGTCTCTGACGGATCCTCCATCTTGCGGGGGCGTGTCAAGCCTGTATACAATAGTTGACATATTCTACTGTATTCCCTATCTGTATTCCTGTAGTTTAGGATTGTTAGTAACTCCCTGCTACTTCTCCTCATTTGTATCCTATTTATACTTGGCTCATTTCATTAATCAATCTCAAGCTTTTGTATTATCATAACATACCCTAAGTATAACAAAAACACACTATATGACATCAAAATATGCACCAGAATATTATACAGAATACACATTAACTATAAATTACTAACCTGTTAGAGCGGTATGTAGCATCAAATAAAACAACATCACCAAACA